GACTCCCTTAATCTATCCTACTGAATTGATAAGATAAGATAAGATAAGACTCCCTTAATCTATCCTACTGAACTGATAAGATAAGATAAGATAAGTCCCTCTTAATCCTAATCTAATAAGATAAGATAATATAATCTACTAACTTAATAAGATAAGATAGGAATAACAAGATAGTCTAATCTAATTTGCCGAATGGATAAGACTGTTGCTGCCAAATTGGATAGGATGAGAACACCGGATCATTGTTGTTGCTGCTCCCAATACGCGTCCACATCATACAACTAAGCCCAAAACAATTTATCTCAGTGATCTCCCTGTTCAGCCATATAGTCAGCTAGCCCATTTGCTAATCTCCTAACCCAGTTGAAGATAGCCCCCACATCCTTAGCTTGAGACAGAATTTCTCTCATTTTCTAGGTGGGCAGGCACCTCAGCAACGAGACACCTTGGCACCTTGAAAATTATGTAATAACCGTTTTATGAAATTTTCCATTTAACCTAAGTAGTATTCTCTTATCAAATAAGATTCCAAACATGGATTTCAAGGCGCCAAGGCAAGGCTATGCAATAGGGGGCGCCTTGTCTCCTAGTCACCTAGGCAATGGATTTTTTTAAGTAAAAAACATATATCCTAGGGTAGTTGCCTAGTTTCCATAATTATATTTCCTTAATAATTATACATAATTTTCATAAGAAAAGTATAGCTTCATGAGAAGAAAAGGAAGAAAGAAAAGAAAATTCAAAAAAATAGGGGCTGAATGCTTATTTTTGTTATAGGAAAAGAAGAAGAAGAAAAATGTGTTGATTAGACAAAATTTTAAGTTCCTCCTTACTTATTGGTTAAGGTTTTAAAGTCTTTGAGGGTTCAATACACACAAAATGAATATTTTAGTTTAATAATGTATATTTTATAATTTTAATCTCAAAAAATTAAGAATATAAAAGTATTTTATAACATAGTGTACAAAACTGCTTGCGATTAGGCAAGGTGAGCCTCCAAGGGCGCCTTGTCACCTAGGCATCGCCTTGACAACTATGATTCCAAATGTATCCCTCCATTTTGCTCATCCTACTATGGGAAACATCCTCCTCAATCCCACCCCTGTTATGGATTTCAAACCAATGTAATAGAAAAGGCCACATCGAAGTATCTCTTGGTCTCCAATCCCAAGTTTGCCCCAATTTCCACTCCTTTGATCATGTTATTGATCAATGAATAAAAATTAAAAAGGAGCTGTTGCCAGTAATGGTTTAGAATCTAGATGCAAAAGCCATGATCTCCTGGTCCCAAATCCAAGAGAACTTCTCAGGAAAATCAATAAAACTTCTACACGTTAATAATCTCTTAAACCCCTACCAAGATCTCCAAGATAGAAACTTACATGAACATGAGAATTTATGATTTTATCACGTGCAAATTCAAGGTGATGCATGCTTTCCAAGTAGTGAGGTTGTTTTATTTGTATCTTGTTTTATTTTATTCCTTAGCATTATAAACAAAAATTATGTAAGGGGCAAATTGTGGTGCCCATCTTATGTTCAGCAAACAAATTGTCCATCTTAAGTTTCCACTTATAAAAGTTGATGTTATTATGCATCTTTGAGGAACAATTATGCTCTAACATGATTAGATTCTCATAACACTTGTGCAATTTCTTGATCTCTATTTCTATTTAGTCATCCTTCTACAACAAGATTGAAGAACCAGATTATCTGGCCAATAAGGGAGCCACTGCCACATGCAATGGTTAGGCCCGATTTTTTCATCTGTTGTTTTCTTACTAAAATTCAAGGAGTAAGCAGCATTTATAGTTTTTATATTCTCACTATGGCAGTCACTTCTGGGTTTTTATGTGGGTCAGTGGGTGTTCTCTCTACACCTGCTACATAATGCACATCTCTAGTTTTTCTTTTTCTGATAAAGTAAGGGTGTACAGCATTTAGATTAGAATATAAAACTCATATCGGTTTATCTCTTGTCTCTGCTTTGAAGATTAAAGTACCATGAAAATAAAAAATGAATAAAAGACGACTCACCAACCTCCTATAATGGTCTAGAGAGCCCTTTCAGATCAACAAATCTCTTTGAGATAGTATAAATCAAAAGTGAAGCATAATTTATCTTTCAATATATTGATATCATTGTTGATATATAATAATATGGGAAGCAACAAATCAACGTCCTGCCAACCATAAAGTAATGACTGTATGCCATGGAAAACAAAGAAACAATGTATTTCTATTCAACCTCTAAATCTAATACAGATACATGGGATTGCTAGAGTGACCTGACTATGTTTCCATGCTGCATTTCTTTCAAAAGGGATATTTCTCTTATTGCAGTGCTTGGAACCCCCTCATCTTCCTGTTCCAGTCGGATTTTTTTAAGAGCTATGGTCTCATTTGTCAAACGGTCACGAGCCTTGTAAACCACACCATAAGTTCCTTCTCCAATCTTCTCAACTTTCTCATACTGCCAGACTTACAAACGTTAGAACACAAATACACAATGAAGGCAACCAAAAGGCCAATGAATGACAAACTGCAAGAACAAGATCTATTACCTGGTCCATGGACCCGAGATAAGGAAACCTCGGAGCAAAGAAGAATCTGAAAACCAGCATTGGAAAGAAAAATGAGACTGAACAGTCATGTCAAGCATGTTCTCGATAAACACACTTACTAATAATAGCAGCATCAAATTCAAATCTAAAATTGATAATCAATCAATGATAATAAGAGCAAGGAAGAATCTGAAAACCAGCATTAGAAAGAAATGGAGACTAAACAATAAAGTCAAACGTGTTTTCAATTAACGCACTTTCTAATACAACTATCATTTTCAAATAAAAAAACGATAATCAAACCATGAAATAAGTCATAAAAATGCCATCATCCGTTAATACATCACTTCCTACTAAGTAATTTGTAAGTAACAATTCACAATTCACATGAATCCCATAACAGAAACACATATACAACAATCAAAACATCATGGATACTAACAACCAGTCATCTCATGTTCCAAGGAACAGAAAGCATATGTTTTCCAAATTCCAGGTGAAGCACAAACTGTAACTACGAGGGGAGGGACCCCTGTTTTCTTGAAGTAGCTGCGGCGGCAGAAGAAGAAGTTTGAAGACTAATGCAGGGAAAAAAAAATAGTGTACCTGTAACTCTATATGAAGCATCCAGCGCTCCACATCCAAGCCTCGAAGCTCAGACCTCCCATCTCAACTTCTCCTTTATCGGCAAATGCAAATCTCCACCACTTCAGCGCTCGACGGAACCCTAAACTGCTTCTCGGTTTTTAGAGTTATGATAAACACTAGTCTCGACCCGTACAATGCACGGGTATTGTGAAAAGAAATTGTGACAGGAACCTCGTGAGTAGTAACAATCTCAGTTGGGCCAGACGCTGGAGAATGAAACCCCTTCCCCCCACCCCACACCAACCAACCAGACAACTACGAGTTAAGATCTCTACCAACAAAAACATGTCCCAAAACCCTACCAACATGATAATACCACACATCACACCGTTAGACCCCCCCCCCCACCAACCAACCAGACAACTACGAGTTAGGATCTCTACCAACAAAACATGTCCCAACACCCTACCAACATCTCACTGTTAGACCGAAAATGCCATGTATGAAATGTGCATTGTGAGATCATGTTAGTAAAGTGTTGGAATGTATTTTATTAACAGGAGATCTGGACTCAACAGCAACACTTATGGGTGAGCATGAATTGGTTCAGTTCCGTTCCATGGTAGAACCTCTAACCTATATTTGGATCAATAATCAATTTTAGGTTTTTTGGAATTATAACATACTTTATCATGATCAATTACATGGAGGGTTCAAGCCTTGGCATTTTTAGGGTTGATCGCAAAGTCTACTCATGGAACCTATTCTTTCTTTATTCAAGTTAAAAATAATAATCTATTCTATAAAAAAACCATAACAATAAAAAATCAAATTAGATTGCTATATATGTTATTATAAGTCGTGTTTTTTAACATTAAGAATTATAAATGAGGAATCAATCAATCATCTATTTTCATTATGAGGCTATTAAAAAAGTTTGGCTTGGACCCCTTTGGAGTTTTTGTACAAGGTGCACAATTATTCTAATTGGATTTCTTATTGGGCTGGTATTTATGCTCCCTTGGCTCTTGACTCTTTGTCAACTTTGGCTTAAGTGTGCCATTATTATATGGCATATTTGGAAGGCTATACGCTAGTTAGTTGTGGAGGAATTAAGATTTGATCCCCATAGAATTATCAATGAAGTAGTGTCCTACATCCCCATAGAATCTCTCTCTCTCTCCCTCTCTCTCTCTCTCTATCTATCTATCTATCTATCTATCTATCTCTCTATGAGGTGTGTTTTTTGTCTTCAATTCTTTATAGACATGAAACAAACCAATGGATTAGGCCCCTAATGAGATGGCTGAAATTATTAAACTTCAACGCTTCCTATAGGGAGACTAAGGCAAGAGCTGACTTCATTTTGAGAGATCACAATGATTTTATGATCTATGCTTGGTCCTTGAACATTAATGCAAGGTCACTTGTAGAAGGTGACTAGGTAAGGCTATGGCTTTGTCAGAAGCTTTGTTTTTTATTATTTCTCTTCATTTGGATAAAGATTTAGATTGAGGGTGATGCTTCAAAAGTTATCACTTCTTTGTTGGAGAACACTTCCCCTCCTTGGCGTATCATGTCATTGATAGTAGAGTGTAGAAAAATTTTATCACATATCTCCCATTACCTAGTTCGTTATATTCCTCATGACTTCAACAAGGTGGTGCATATCATGGCTCATCATGGATGCAATCTTAATCATGTGCATACACAGACCTCTCTCCTTTCACTTATCATGGAGGCTTTAACTGAAGATCATTTGGTCTATATAGCTTGTCAAGTCTCTATGTTATGTTATAATCAATTTATATAATTAATATTATAAATTAATATTAATTATGAATGCAATATAATTACAAATTATATCATTGATAATGTTATAATCAATTTATATTACTATCAATAAATACTATTGATTAGTTCAAAACTTATATTACCCTTATTGATTAAAATAAGTAAATTATAGATTATCATAATATACTGACATATAGTTCAAAACTTATCATTATTATTTAAACTTCGTAAATATTACCTTTTACATTATGTATCATACACCTTCAAATATTAGACTGAAGAAAATTATCAATTCACTAAGTAACTCAATTGTCAAGTGAGACCATGGTTTTTGTAAACATGAGTGTTTTGGTTCAAATGTTCACATCCTCAAAATATTTTGGGATTTATTTCAAGGAAAGTTTGGTTTCAAGCCTAATTCCACAGAGGTCAACCAAAGGCAATCAAAGTTGATTCTTTAGGTCACTTCAGATAAGATAAGCCCTCAAATCCTGGAAACAATCTAGGTGGTGGTTGATTCCAAGAATTTGGAACCAAACCATACCTGATAATAGATTGGGTAGGGTCGGTTCCAAGTTCTAGGTTGAACCTATTCATTTGCTCACCCCTAACTACACCTATATATTATTTTGTTTTTGTAAAAATATCATTTTATTTGAGATTCACTACTTATCCCATGTTATATCTAATTTGAATCTTTTATTTTATTTAAATAATTAAATCAGATTTACATTGTAATTTAAAATGCTCTTACAATGATTATTTTATTTTAATTATGAAATTGAATTATAGAGATTAATATTGGGCCTGCATCATTTGGAGTGGATACCATTTTATAGGTAGTTATGTGTTAAAATTAACTTGGTGTGGATACTTTTTTTTATCGACACACTACAAAAAAATTGACATTTAGCCACATTTGCATGTTTGTTGATAAAGGTTTTAATTACAACTGGATCAACTATTGCCGATAGTGTTGTGGTTAAATGTTTTTAATTACAATTAACTGTTGCTAATGACGATGTATAACAATAACTAATATAAATGTCCTTAAGATTATTTTTTGCAACAATGAAATTCAACTGTGGCCCAAAATATTTTACTTGGAACAATTACTATTGATTGTAGCTAACAAGTAATTTTTGCAACAATTTGCTAACTATAGTCATATATGTCACTAGAAACAAGCCCACTAATTGTTGCTAAAGCATAAGCAACAATCAATCATTTATTGCTTATAACCATATTTTGTAACAATTCTTAACAAAATAAAAACAATCAAATAATATAATTGTTATCAATTATTAATAAAATAATTTAATTAATTGTTATCAATTGTATTAACAACAATTATGCAATCATTGCCTATATATCATAAGAAACATTTGAACTAATTATTGTTAAAGCATAGGCAACAATCGAACAATTATTGCTTATAACCATTTTTTGTAATAATTTTTAGTGAAAATCATATAATTGTTGCCAATTGTTGATAACAAACAAATTACTTGTTGCCAATATAATTGATAACAATTATGCAATTATTGCCTATAATTTTAACAACAGTAATCATGAATTGTTGTTAAATTAGCAACAGGCAAATAATTGTTCCAATTGTCACCAAATAAATTGTATTATATTTAGTTACAATTGCAAATGGTTGCCAATATTCATTTAGTTGATGTTATCAATATTTTTAATTGTTATAAATAATTTACAAATTGTGGTTAATAGAAAATTTGACCATATCTACAAGTAACACGGTTGTTGCTAATGATCACATAATTGTAAGTAAATACTTTCCAATTTTCATTAATAACCTAATTGTTTGTTGTAAATATTTACTCAGTTGTAGTCAATTTAAACCTAATTGTTACCAATAAATTAATTGAGCATTAAAACAATAAAACTATTATCAATATTAAATTCATTGTTGCTAACAATTAACTTATGCTACACCCATATAGCATATTTTACATATAATTTATTATGGATATTCATTTGCTCATTTAATCAATAGACAATCTTAAAACCATCCATTATATAAATATATATTCATTGGTTTCTAAAAGATAAGTTCAAGTCATAAAATCTAAGATATAAGAGGTTTAAATAAAAAAAGAAAGTAATAGTTGAATAAAAAATGCTAGTCTCAAATAATGTTAAAATTTCTTCTCATCAAATTTGTTCTTGTGGTGATTGATTTCCAAAAGCACTAGCACCCTCATTATTCCCCTACACAAAAAATAATGTATGAATAATTTTATCAATTATGATATTAAAAAATTTACTTAATTCAAACTTTAAATAAATCTATTAAGAAAAAATTACCTATGATGCTACAATCGAACCATGTAAGATATGTCACAAGTCTATAGTTCCATTTTGAGCAAGATTAGCCAACAATGAAGTCATAACCAACTGCATTTGGTTTTGTTGTGTCTTCAATTGTAACTTGTCATTCACCATTTTCAATCTTTCATTCTCTCCTTTTTTGCCCCAAACTTATGATGAAGTTGGTCCAAATCGAAACAATTGAACATACCCACTATGCTCTAGACCAAGTATTTGAGAAATAACATCCTGATGCAGTTTGTGAATTTGAGAAATAACATACCCACTATGCCCCATTTTCAATCTTTCATTCACCACTATGATCTAGACCAAACTTATGATGAACTTGTCATTCACCATACCCACAATGCTAATTTGTGAATTTTCTCCATCCATCTCTATCTCATCTAAAATTCTCTACAATATAAATTAAAATATGAAATATTTACTTAATTTCATATACATAAATTTATTATTAAATAAAAATATAACAACAATACTTACAATAGCATGAGCAATATCTTCATTTGGAACATCTCCATTCTTTCTTTGATGTGTGACCCTAAATATCTTTGTTCGTGTGGGTTCCCTTTTTTCTGGATGCTTGTTTTTCTTATTTTTTAATATACAATAATTATAAGTTTAAAATTCATAAATGTAAATATAACTTGTAATTTGTTTCAATTATAAATAGAAATTACCAAGTATTCTTGATTTTGCGCAAAAGACTTTGAACCAGAAACATGAACCATAGTATGCTTCGCTCAGTTTAATTTACCTCTTCCACTTCGAGGTTGCACTGTGCATTCATATAAATGCAATATTTAAGATAAGAATAATAATAAAGACTAGAAATATAAAAAATGCCAGATATTATAACATACCTCAAATAAATCACTAAAAAATATTTAACCAATTCTTTTTATTGATCCAAATGAACATTAGGGGGCAATTGATAATTCTTTCTTCATTAATTTCATACTTATCATAATAGTTCACCTCATTTTATGCCTATATGCCCTCCACCTATCTCTAA